AACAACAGCAACAGCAACCGCAACCGCTACAGCAACAGCAACAGCAACAGCAACAACAACAATCATCATTACAACCACAATCACCACAACCATCACAACACTAAGCAGCAGCAGCGGCGGCAGCAACAGCAACAGCTCACCACGACGACGACTGCTACTACGACTACCACTACCTGGCAACTGCTCCCTGCTCGCTTCGGCCTGCGACCTGCGACCTGCTAGCACAAGAGCGACTACGACTACGACAGTAACAAGTTTGATGCTAAGAAGACCAGTGGTAAGATTAAGAATAATGCTAGCAAGCATAGCAGAAATGGCAGTAGTCAACTGCAACAACAACAATAGCAATTGCAACGCTCATTTTAGTGTCATTTCCTAGGCTCAGCGAGCATCGCTCGAACCAGCCTTGAACCGTCTGACACCGGACTTTTCGATGAGGCCTTGGCTGCTCACTATGGGCTATTGTCACTTAGACTTCTGATTTCCATTATTCGTCTTGCTCTTGCAGAATAATGCGTTCCTGTGAATCTTACTTGTATCGAACTAATCTTGCGCATGCTGCTGCTGCTGCTACGACAGTACTGCTACTGATCTAATGAGAATAACTGTTGATGAGGATAGGTCCCAAGCGACAACAGAGTTCTCTGGCCAAGTGCATGGGCGAAGGACTTCAGAACCGAGTGGCAGTTCAACATAGGAGCCCAGTTCTGCACGATGGCAAAAACATCGTCATCCTCTTCAGCCACGGAAGGGTCGGGATATGTTGGGATGCCGGAAGGGCTGTAGGGTCTTGAAGCAGAGGCCCTTAGGGTTTCTGATTTCTCGGTTTCTTGAAGCGCCCTTGGTAACTCCCTTTCTCACCTCCTTTCCGCGGCTCTCGCGCAGGAGGAGGTCCAGGAGCTGCGCCACGGGGTGCACCGTGCAAAGCTCGTTTTCTGTGAGGAGCTCGTCCACCTGCGAAAGGGGCACACTCTGAGCCTACATCTAGTGCTGATGGTGGGTGATGCCGATCACAACGATGACGGTGACCACGGTGACATTGATGACCATGATCGTGCGATGGCGGCTAATCTGATGGCCACAAGGCTACTGGTGGTGGCGATTTTGGAGATATTGATAGCGACGTGGTTGGTGTTATTGATGGTGATAACGATGGCGGCGGTGGAGATGAAGCAAGACAGGCGAAGGCAGGAACCATGTAGTTGAGCTGCCACGTCTTCTCGAGCTTCTGACCGTGGAAACCGAAACTGAAAGCGCCGTAAGGTTGTGCCAGAGGCCGGACATGCATGGTTGGGGTTCAGCCGCTTTGATGGGGGTGGCCATGACAGACTCGGCCTCCCCCACTAGCTTCTCCACATTGCCGTCCTCCTGAAACACTCTGGAAGCAAAAAGGACTCTCAGTGGAAGCTTTCCTGAGAGTCTTGCAGGCTTAGGTCTTAGGTTTTGGGTTTCCGAAACGCGTCTGAGCTGGCAATGACAGCAAAGCGGGTGCACTGAGTCCAAGAGTGGTGCCGGTCCTTGAGAACCCCTTCGCAGGTGTCCGTAAAGCCGGCGACTTTTGCTGGATCGTGGTCCTGCGGTGACAAGATGGGGAATGCTGTGATGCCATGGAGCCGTCGGGGCCTGCTTTTTGGAAGAGCCGGTGGAAGCCTTCTTCTGGGCTTGGCTGGCACCTTGCACGGCGACATGAAGGCATAACGGCATAAGAAGCGATCGCCTGTCCAAACATGCAGTCACACAGCGTGCGCAGGCGGATGTGCACTCATGCAGGTACCACGGACACCCGCACCCATAGATAAAGAAACACGGACACTGTCACCGAAAGCAGCACCTCAAACCCTAAACTTTCAAGCCTGCAGAAAGCCTAACGGTCTTTGCTGTGCCGCTGGGGAGCTCTTGATAGCCTCTCGCTTCTCCCGTGCCTCAGCCTGTCGGAACTGGCTGAATTTGGCGTTAATTTTTTTTCTTATCTGAACTGTTGAGGGTTTAAGCCGCAGACGGAAGGCTCCTTGTTGTCAGGGTTTTGAATGGGTCTGTGGGTCTGTACGGCCCTTATTCTATTACAAGGGCTCTACTTTTTGGACTATTCCGGGGTCTATAGGAAAATCTAGTGTCAGGGTGCGTTTGGATTTTAGGATTTAATAGGGATACTCCACCGATGAAAAGTACTGCTTGCTTTTCTTCTCAGATGAGCAGGCAACGGGAACTAGAACCGCGGCAATCGGATCTCAAATTCACTCTGGTGCATATGGGGGTTTCCGAAAATAGGGGACCCTAATATAGCACCCCAAATAGTAGGATCCTTATTATAAGGACCCCAATTTAAGGTACCCTTATTATGGGAAACTCCCATATCTCGTCCTGGAAGGAGGACGTTTTTGCAAACAAGTGCCTCTTTGGCTGCCTTTAGCTCCATCTTCCTTTGCTTTTCAGCTTCTGCCTGCGTGCGCCCGCGGAACCTTGGCCTCAAACCCTGGAACGCAAGTAAGCCCATCCCTGTACCTTCTTGTTCTCTTCGGCGCGCTTCTTCTCCATCTTCGCATCTTCTTCCCGCTGCCTGCGTTCGTCCTCTACTCTTCTTTTGTCCTCCTGCTCCTTCTGCTTGCCTTGGCAGGTTTATGATTTAAGGCAACATAATGTCAGTGCGGCAACATTCCACACATCTGTGCGCCACACTTCTGAACTCTTCTCTTCGCCTCTCCTTGTCCTGAGCACTCGAAATTAATCGCATCATCAAGTAATGCACTGTGCAGTATGTCATGCAGCATCCTCAACAGCTCATGAGAGTCAACTGCTATTTCAATCCTAGGTCTTCTACCCAGCTCCTCCTCCATTCGCCTGTCGCTGTCCCTTTGCCTGTCGCTGTCCCTTTGCCGTGCCAGGCGATCATCATCTTCGCGCTTCTTCTCCCCGTCCATCTTTGCCTGACCATAGATGGAAGCTTGCGAGATCTACTTGCATAAGCCCTCTCTATGATTTCTGTAGCCTGTTCCTCCATCTGTCTCCTGAGAGCAGGCGGCACATACTTTCCTTGACCTCCGGGCAGCGTCAGATGGCAGAAAAGGCTGCTGATCCGATGCACGCAGCAAGGGCCTAACATGTCCATGTACCTCTGTCTGGCCATCTTGAATCTTAATTCTCAACCCTGAACCCCAAGCCCCAGCTGCCCTAGCTGCCCTGGCTCATGTCCCGCAAAGCCTGGCATCTGAACCGGGGCCGACGGCGCCGAGGACCGCTCCGGCCCTCCTCTACGGCCCGCCCCCCCTCGCCAGTCATCGTCTTTGCCCGCCTGCTCGAGACATATTTAGGCTCGTAGAGGGGGTTGATCCGTATAGTTGAAAGGGAGCGGGGCAACGAGCCATATACCGCAAAAAACCGTAGAGGCTTTCAAAACGAGGAGAATCTGCAGACACTTGCAGCTGCGACCAAGGAGTGGGCCTGAGTGTTGTCGTCTCTGTTTTCCCTGCGGAAGCCACCACCTCCTCCATCTCTGTCTCTGTCCCTGGGGCCATCCTGCCATTGCCGAGAAGGCTTCCAGTGCCAGTCAGGCTCAGGGATTGCTTCACGCCAGGCAGGATGCAGCAACTCCCTCGCGTTGCCTGCCGGCCACCGCCCGATCGCCAGTCTCCTGCGTCTGCGCGGCTGGGTTCTCCATCACCCCTGCCTGGAAATGACAGGGCTAGGCACATTGTGCTGCACGCCGCCAAATTGGATTGGAGACCACTTTTGTCCAAGGTGCCCTTGCCACCTCTGTCCCTGTCGCCGAAGCGGTCGCCACGGTCACGGTCGCCAAAGCCGCCGCGGTCACCCGGGCCATCCTGGAGTGGAGGCAACGGCCGAAGGTATAGCAGAACAAAGCCGAGCTCAGAAATTTCGGCCTCCCGGGCAGTCGACTTCCACGCAAGCACAAGAGACAAATTGTAGGAGTCCTCATGTTAATATTCATCCCTAAAACACTACAAGCCTCAATCCCTAAATCGACCCTGATCCCTAAATCCCCGGTCCCTGGACCCTGCGGTCCCTGGGACCCCCTCGCCAGTCGCCGGTGTCTGCGCGGCTGGGCTCAGAGTCTCCCTTACCTTAGACACGGCTGCTGAGGGGATTCGCCCTGTCTATGGGTCCTTACTATTTTGGCGTGTTGCTGTTGATGTGTTTCATTGAGGGGCCCTTTACTATCACTTTTTCTATGGCTTAGGGTCTTTGAGGTCTGTGCAAATTAGGTTAGGATCCCTGATTTCATGAAGCTACCACGTGGCTGCTACATGCAGAGCCACAGGGCCCTGCGACGCCAACAGCACACGGCAGGGATGTGCTGATCATGTGACGCAAAGGATCGACCATGCTTACTTTAACGACGAAAATCGCCATTGTGATTTTGCAAAATCATGCAAAAACAATGTAAATAGCAGGGAGAATGATAATGCACATGACACAGAAATAAAGCAATGACAACATTGACAATAATAATAATGACAATAGTTAATAAAAAATAATAGTAACAACAGTAATGAAAGCAACAATAGTAATTGTAATGGTGACAATAATAATAACAATGACGGTATTGATGACAACTGTAAAAGTCAATACGAATAGTAGCAATACGATGCTTTGTTGTCACTGCCCCTCATGCCACCACCACCACCACCACCA